TGCCCCACTCTGTGCCTCAGTTTCCCCATTTGTAAAAACTGGAAGACTGCTACTGACCTCCTTGCTAAAGTTCTTTGAGATCTACTGATGACAAGCACTAGAGAAGACCTAGATATCGCTATTATACGACACAGACTCTTCTATAATATACTACACCTAATGGATTTTAAACCATTTGGAACTCTAGAACCAGGATGAAACTTTTAGCAAGCAATCTGGAAGCTGTTGGATTCTATGTGGTTTGAAAACATTCTAGAATCCAGTGATGTCCTGCATCCAGGTGGGAATCTAGAACCCATGGACTTTGAGTTTGAACACATTGAGAGGCTTAAAATAAATGAAATTCCAGAGCCAGCTTGTAATGCAGAATCCAAGAGAGTCAATTAAATTAGAACACAGTCAGAGACCTAAAACCAACAAGATTCTGGAGCTGGCTACTGATCTGGTGCCATTGGTGACCCACTGAGTTTGAAAAAAAATTGAGTGACCTAGAACGCATGGGAATCTAGAATCCAGGGACACTGTAGGGTTTATAAACTTTGACATAGCTGGAACACATCAGGTTTTAGAAACGTTGGGGATCTAGGAACAACTGGGATGGCAAGTTTATAACTCTTCCTAAGTTTGGCCACCTTCACACCATCTTCTGTTTTGTGTTCTCGACTTCTGACTCATGTCTTCCACTAGACTCAGGGGCACTGCTGCTGAGATCATCAACAAAAGCCATCTTGACCAGAGTGAGAAGAGACGTCCTGAAGACCTACCAGAAATTCTCCCCTACTAAGAGGTAGAGGTTGGTGGAGAAGCAGGCATTGAAACAGGACATGAAGGTGTAAATGACCAAGAGGACGCCCGTCACCAATTCTGGCACCTCCTTCTTGTACAGCTTCAAGCCATGGTAGAGGTGGTGGGGCAGCTAGTCGAGGAAGAAGGAAACCACTGTGTGGAAGGTGATGAAGAGCAACACAGCAGAGGCCAGGTGTGGGGTCTTCATGGTCTCTGTGGTCTTGCAGGAATTTTCCACTGGGGTTGGTGGGAGTGCCATGATATCTTGTTCCACAGCACCCTGGGAAGAGACAGAAGAGGGGTTGGAAGGGACGACAGTGGAGGTGACATGGGAGAGTGGAAGAGGAGAAAGGAGAAATACCAGAGTGAGTTAGGAAGGTAACGTTGGAGGGGACACCTTGCTGGGCAACCTCTGGTCCTCCAGAATATCCCGACTGGATATTCCCAGAAACTGGGCTACAGCCAGTGGTACTCACTGCTACAGGATAGAGCTGTGAGCAGTAGGGGAGGACAAGGACGATAGCAGATATGGGAGGAGTGGAGAAGAGGACACTCTAGGAGACCAAATATACAGCTATGCAGAGAATACCACGTAGCTGTGATCTGGATGACTGGCTGGCACAGGGGAGCAGGAAATGGGCCATGGGGCCTTTCCCCTCTCAGGTGGCCAGCTCTAATCTGGCCCCAGGGCAGGAGATCATGCCTACTCAGTTAGGGGGGGATCGGTGCTCTTGACTCTTAGCATGCAGGAGCTGGTGCCAGTGGAACTCACTGCTACAAGGAAGAAAAAGCCACCCCTCCCCCACCCCATCTCTTGTGCTCATCTGCCAGTCACAGGAACTGAGGCTACACCCTGACTCATGAGAGGGTGCAGGGTCCTTCTCACCCTCATTGTAACACAGGAAGCCTCAATCCACCAAGCTGTTTCTCTGCCCCCCAGCCGGGCTGCCAGCCCTGCAGCAGGGACCTCGGGGATTTTGCCTCTTTCTGGGATTGCCTCCTTCACAGCCTTATTAGCATGGAGTCCTGTCTGCTCTGGAGAATGGCCTACTGGTTAGAGAATGCGGGAGGGGCTGGGAGCCAAGACTCCTGGGCTCTGGGGGGACGTGGGATCCTGTTGCTTAGACTCCCCAAAGGAGGAACACCTCATCTGATTAACATGAAACAAAACAGAAAAATTCACCCACGTCACAGACATCCCCTGCTACCTCTGTCTATTGTGTGCCCTGTGTTAACCCCAGGGCTATCGGTGGCAGGGACTTTTACAGGCTAACCCTTCTGATACCAGTGGCAGGGAGTTTTACAGGAGAACCCCACTGATACCCAGTGGCTGGGAGTCCCACTGGTTTCCCTTTACAATAGCAAATGTTGTGGCTCCCAGGTGGCCTTAGCAAGGAAATTCCCCTTTAGACCCAATGCTGGGCCCTCTTCCCATTGTTTTGACTCTCGTGGGCAGCAGGTGGTGGAAACACGGACCCAGCAGAGAGACAGATGACATGTGTTTGCCCAGCAAAGCGTCTACGTGTCTGTCCCCGCCTCAGCTTTGCCCTGTGCGTTGAGTTCACTCCCCTTAACTCTGTGTCTTCTACATGCTCCAGCCCCACCTACTCTCTCACATTGAAAAGCTGCAAACCATAAACGGAAATGGTCATTCGGACACTGTCTTAGCAGAGCAACCACCTAAGAAACTGCTTGAAAACTAGCCCCCACTCCCCTCCCAGAGACAGGGCTAGAATCCAGTGGGAGGTGTAGTCATGGCCCCAAGCCTCGCTGTGCTAGGCACTGTATAAAAACAAGAGAGAGCTTACTGTCTAAGGAGTCAGTATTTGCTAGAGACCAGGTCCAGGTCTCAGAAGGCCTTGGTACCATTCCTGGCTCTGCCACTGGCGGACTAAGTGACCTTAGCCAAGGCACTTCCATACTCCCTGCCTCAGTTTCCCCATTTGTAAAAACTGGGAGACTGCTACTGACCTCCTTGGCAAAGTTCTTTGAGATCTACTGAGGACAAGCACTAGAGAAGAGCTGGCTATTGCTCTTATAATACACAGACTCTTCTATAATATACCACACACAATGGATTTTATACCATTTGGAAATCTGGAACCCGCATGAGATTTTTAAGTCAACAAAGAGTCTGGAACCTGTTGGAGTCTATATGGTTTTAAAACACTCTAGAATCCACTGGAGTCCTAGCACCAGTCAGGAATCTAGAACCCATGGACGCTATTAAGTATGAAGTCTTTGAAAAACTTAAAACAAAGATTCCAGAGCCAGCCAGTGATGCAGAAGCCATGAGAATCAGTTAGGTTAGAATACATCAAGAAACAAAAACAAACAAGATTCTGGAGCCCGCTAGTGATTTGGAACCCTTGACAGCCATTGACTTTGAAAAAATTGAGAGAACACATGGGATTCTGCCGATAACGAGGACTCTGGAATCGGTTTATAAACATTGAGATACCTGGAACCCACAGGGTTTCAGAAGCATCAGGGATGAAGAAACAAGTGGGATGACAAGTTTCCAATGCTCTCTAACTCCAGGCACTTTCAGGCACTCATGACCGACAACGGCACCACATTCTTCTGGAGCAGCAGGCCGTGGCAGAGGTGGTCGGGCAGCCAGCAGATGAAGAATGACACTACCGCAGTCACCATGACTTTGAAAGGCTTCCCGCTCCTCACCATCCCCTTCTTCTTAATCTCCAGCCCCTTCCGGCCCTGGCATCCCACACTGGTGAGGAGGGGCAGCAGGGCGTCCAGCAGAAACTGCACCCTGAACAGCAGCAGATGGAGAGGTCTCCTCCAGGCCTGCATCTCGGCTCTGTCCCCTTCTCCAGAGAAGGTGTAACTATTCTTGCAGACGACTCCAGGAGTTAGGGAGCGCTGAGGGTGAAGGAGACCAGCTACATGCCCGCGACCAGCTTCCTGATCTGGGTCACAGTGCGGGGATGGCAGCACCAGACAGGGGGCAGGGGAGAGTGCAGCGGTCCAGGCTAGTGAGGGTGAGGAGGAAGATGGCAGAGAACATGCCCAGGGAGAGGCAGGCGTTGAGCTCGTACATGGCCATGCCCAAGACCCAGTGGAAACCCAGGCAGAGGGGCTGTGAGACCTTAAGGAGGAGCAGGAAGAACACAAAGGGGATTGGAGGAGACAGAAGAGGGGAAGGGAGAGAGAGAGACAGACGTGTGCAGCCCGTGCCCTAGCAGTGAGAAACACGCCATTTCATTCTCCTCCCTGCACAAACCAATGAGGCTGCAGCCGCACACAGGACCCACTAGACCCCACTCCCAAGAGAATTCAACCTGGGTCTTGTGTACCATGCCATTGGGGGCTGTTTTCCCAGTAGAGTTGGGTTCTCATCCAGGGTTTCAGGGCCCAGCTCCGAGGATGGGGCCTGTGTATTGAACAATCTGGGGAGGGCTGGGTGTGACTGAGATTTTATCTAGAATAGGAAGGGGCCGCATTTCACAGGAGTTGTCTCACGCAGGGACGTACCCACAACATGTAGATAACACAGGACCCCTCACAACTATTGACCTGCTCTAACCACTAGACCCCACCCCCCTCCGAGAGCTGGGGACAGAATCCAGGGTCCTTACTCCCAGCTGCCCCCTGCACTAGCCCATGAGGTCCCACTCATCTCCCAGAAGTGGGGACAGAACCCAGGAGTCCTGGCTCCCAGCCCTCCTGCTCTAACCCCCAAGACCCCCCCACTCCTTGGCTGGGAGTTGCATCATTTGTGACTCAGATTTTGTTGTGAGCTAACAGGGCTGGGTGGTTATCTCTGGGTCATGGTGCAGCCCCCTCTCAGGAAAGGACTTCTGCAAAATACAGCCCCTTCCTCTTCACGGGGGCACACCTCAGTAGATGAGCTACTGGCCAAGCATCTAGTGCATTAGAGTCGGGGGGCTGGGAGCCAGGACTCCTGGGTTCTATGCCAGGCTCTGGGAGGGAGAGGGGCTAATTTTAAAGCAGTGGCTGTTGCTTAGGTGGTTTATTTGCTAAGACAGTATCCGATGATCATTTCCGTTCATGGTTTGCAGCTTGTGGATCTCAGATAGCAGGTGAGGGGTGGAGCATGTAGAAGACACAGAGTTAAGGGGAGTGAACTCAACACACAGGGGAGGTCTCCGGGGTGCAGGGGACAGACACACGGACGCTTTGCTGACCAAACACACAGCATCTGAGGCTCTCTCTGCGCTGGGTCTGTGTTTCCACCACTCGCTCCCCAGGTGAGTCAAGACAATGGGCAGAGGGCTCTGTGTTGGGTCTAAAGGGGAATTTCCTTGCTAAGGCCCCCAAGAAGCCACAAAATTTGCTTTTGTAAAGGCAAACTAGTGGGACTCCCTGCCACTGGGTATCAGTGGGGTTAGCCTATGAAACTCACTGCCACTGAGTGAGAGTGAGGTTAGCCTGGGAGACTCCTTGCCCCTGGGTATCAGTGGGGTCCACATGGGGCACTCAATAGACAGAGGTAGTAGGTGAGGTCTGTGACATGGGGGAACATTTCCCACTTCTTTCAGGTGAGTCAGACGAGTTGCTCCCCGTTTACACAGAGCAGTCTCAGCAAGTCAAGTATGAAATGTTAGTTTGTACTGACCACGCGGGTTCTTTTTATGGAGGTTGGGGTAAAACGAGGCAAATACCTAGGTGAGTTGATGTACCCCCGACAGATCTCTGCGTACACCCACCCCTGGCTCAGAGCCTCTGCTCTAAGCCACAAGACCCCCCTTTCCTCCCACAACCCAGGAGTTCTGACCCCCACCCCACTCCCAGAGCTGGGCGTAGAACCCAGGAGTCCTGGCTCCCAGCCTGCCCTTCTCTAACCATTAGGCCAGGCTGCAGAGCACAGCGGACACCGTGCTAACAAGGCCGTAAGGGATGCAGTCCCTGCCAGAGGCAATCGCCCAGAGGACCCGGCTGCAGGGCTGGCAGCCCGGCTGGGGGACAGAGCAGCAGCTCGGTGGCTTGAGGCTTCCTGTGTTACAATGAGAGTAAGAAGGACCCTGCACGCTCTCTCGAGTCAGGGTGAAGCAGCAATTCCCGTGGCAGACAGATAAGTACAAGAGACGGGGTAGGGGACGGGTGGCTTTTTCCACCTTGTAGCAGTGAGTGCCACCGGCACCAGCTCAACAGGACCGACCCCCACCTCCCTGAGCCACCCAGTCACTGCCCTGGAGCCAGATCGGAACCAGCAGCTCCTGGTGGGGAAGGCCCCATCTCCATTCCCCACCCCTCTGAGCCAGCCCGTTCTCCAGATCAGCATAGGTGTCTATTTGACCTGCTAAACTGTCTCCGTCCCCACTCCTCCCACATCTACTATCCCTTTTTCCCTCTGCCCATAGTTCTACCCTGTAGCAAGGAGTTTCACCAGCTATAGCCCAGTTGCTGACAATATCTAGCCTGGATATTCTAGAGGAACAGAGGACACCCAGAGAGATCCTCTCCAATGGTGCCTTCCTAAACCCCTCATTTCTCCCTTCCTCTTCTTCCCCTCCCCCTTTTCCTCTCCTCTGTCATCCCTTCTAACCCATCTTCTCTCTCTCCCCAGGGCACCATGGACCAAGGCAACATGACTCTCCCACCAACCACAGGGGCGAATTCCAGCCAGACCCCAGCAGCTGTGAGCGCCACTCACCTGGCTGCGGCCGTGTTGCTCTTCACCACCTTCCTGGTGGGTGTGGTGGGGAACGGGCTGTACCTGTGGGTGCTGGGGCTGAAGATGAGGAGGACGGTGACCACGCTCTGGTTCCTCCACCTGGTCTCCTGCTACCTTCTCTTCACCCTGCTGATCCCCTTCTTCGCCGTCTATGTCCTCCTGGGTTTCCATTGGGTCTTTGGCATGGCCTTGTGCAAGTTCCTCAACACCTGCATCTCTCTGGGCATGTTCTCCTGTGTCTTTCTTCTCTCCCTCATCAGCCTGGACCGCTACAACCTCACTCACCACCCCATCTGGTGCCGGCATCACCGCAATGTGCCCCGAGCTCGGAAGCTGGTTGTGGGCGTGTGGCTGGTCTCCTTCGGTCTCAGCGCTCCCTACCTGGCTTTCCGGGAGACCCAGGTGTTGGACGGGGGCAGGATCATCTGCGTTAACAATTACGCCCTCTCCAGAGACTGGAATGGAGCCGAGCCACAGGAGCTGGGGAGACGGGTCCACCTGGCCATCTTCATGATCCGGTTCTTGCTAGGCTTTCTGCTCCCCCTTTGCACCATTGCAGGCTGCTATGGCAGGGTGGGGCTGAAGATGAAGGAGAAGAAGCTGGCGTGGGCTGGGAAGCCCTTCAAAGTCATGGTGGCCGCGGTGGTTTCCTTCTTTCTCGGGTGGCTGCCCTACCACCTCTTCCACGGTTTGAATCTCTACAAGAAGGAGGTGCCAGAGTCAGTGACGAGTGCTCTCATGGTCATTTACACCTTGTCATCCTGCTTCAATGCCTGCTTCACCCCCATCCTTTACCTCTTCGTGGGGGAGAAGTTCTGGCAGGTCTTCAGGACGTCTCTTCTCACTCTGGTCAAAGCAGCTTTTCTTGATGATCTCGGCAGCAGTGCCCCTGAGAATAGTGGAAGACAAGGATCTGAAGCTGAGAACACAAAACAGGTGATGGTCTGAGATTACCCAGATTTAGGGAGAATGGAAAACTTGCCATCCCAGTGGTTCCTAGATCCCTGATGGTTCTAAAACCTGATGGGTCCCAGGTACCTCATTGTTTATAAACCCTGCAGTGCCCCTGAATTCTAGATTCCCTGCTCTCTCCAGAATCCCATACGTTCTAGGTCTCTCAATTTTTTCATACTCAATGGGCCGTCAATGGCACCAAAACAGTAGTCGGCTCCAGACTCTTGTTTGGTTTTGATCTCTCAATGTGTTCTCACCTAAGTGACTCTCTTGGATTCTGCATCACTAGGAGGCTCTGGAATCTCATTTATTATAAGCCTCTCAGTGGGTTCATCCTCAAAGTCCATGGGTTCTAGATTCCTGACTGGACCAAAGACATCACTGGATTCTAGAGTTTTTTCAAACCACATAAAATCCAACAGGTTCCAGATTGCTTGCTAAAAGTTTCATCCTGGTCCTAGATTTCCAAATCATAGAATCATAGAATATCAGGGTTGGAAGGGACGTCAGGAGGTATCTAGTCCAACCCCCTGCTCAAAGCAGGACCAATCCCCAACTAAATCATCTCAGCCAGGGCTTTATCAAGCCTGACCTTAAAAACTTCTAAGGAAGGGGATTCCACCACCTCCCAAGGTAATGCATTCCAGTGTTTCATCACCCTCCTAGTGAAAAAGTTTTTCCTAATATCCAACTTAAACCTCCCCCACTGCAACTTCAGACTGTCTCCCACAGTATTCTTGCCAGCAAGTTAAAGAAGTATGGGCTGGATGAATGGACGATAAGGTGGATAGAAAGCTGCCTAGATTGTCGGGCTCAACAGGTAGTGATGGCTCCATGTCTAGTTGGCAGCCGGTATCAAGTGGAGTGCCCCAAGGGTCAGTCCTTGGGCTGGTTTTGTTCAATATCTTCATTAATGATCTGGAGGATGGTGTGGATTGCACCCTCAGTAAGTTTGCAGATGACACTAAACTGGGAGGAGAGGTAGATACGCTAGAGGGTAGGGATAGGATACAGAGGGCCCTAGACAAATTAGAGGATTGGGCCAAAAGAAATCTGATGAGGTTCAACAAAGACAAGTGCAGAGTCCTGCACTTAGGACGGAAGAATCCCATGCACCGCTACAGACTGGGAACTGAATGGCTCGGCTGCAGTTCTGCAGAAAAGGACCTAGGGGTGACAGTGGACGAGAAGCTGGATATGAGTCAACAGTGTGCCCTTGTTGCCAAGAAGGCCAATGGCATTTTGGGCTGTATAAGTAGGGGCGTTGCCAGCAGATGGAGGGACGTGATCGTTCCCCTCTATTCGACACTGGTGAGGCCTCATCTGGAGTACTGTGTCCAGTTTTGGGCCCCACACTACAAGAAGGATGTGGAAAAATTGGAAAGAGTCCAGCGGAGGGCAACAAAAATTATTAGGAGACTGGAACACATGATTTATGAGGAGAGGCTGAGGGAACTGGGATTGTTTAATCTGCGGAAGAGAAGAATGAGGGGGGATTTGATAGCTGCTTTCAACTACCTGAAAGGGGTTCCAAAGAGGATGGATCTAGACTGTTCTCAGGGGTAGCAGATGACAGAACGAGGAGTAATGGTCTCAAGTTGCAGAGCGGGAGGTTGAGGTTGGCTATTAGGGGAAAAAAGTTCACTAGGAGGCTGGTGAAGCACTGGAATGCGTTACCTAGGGAGGTGGTGGAACCTCCATCCTGAGAGGTTTTTAAGGTCAGGCTTGACAAAGCCCTGGCTGGGATGATTTAGTTGCGGATTGGTCCTTTTTTGAGCAGGGGGTTGGACTAGATACCTCCTGAGGTCCCTTCCAAACCTGATATTCTATGATTCTATGGTCTAGTTCTTCAAGGGCTCCAAACACCTATATGTCTGAAATAGCAATCGGATCCTGTGAATTCTAGATGTGCAGTTAGTTCTAGAAACTCCAGGGTTACAAGTCAATCCATTTTAAAAAAACTATGGAAGCTCGAGCCTTTTACAAGCAAGACCCCTCGGGGCAGCATATCTGGAACTGAGAACATTCTCCGCTTTGAGGGCGAGGTCCATGGAATCACACGTGCATGGAGGGCTGCAGAACAGAGCAGTGGGAGTCACTCCCTGGAGCTGGAGAAGGGAGGAGGACTGGCTGCCTTGCAGGAGGAGGGCAGCAAGCCCCCTGGGCAGAGCAGTGCTGCAGGCAGAGACCCAGGAAGCTAAAGGCAGCTCCTGGCAGGCTGCAGGGATCTGCAGACTGAGGCCCTGACACACGGGCAAAGAGGGTGCTGGAGCCACTGAAGGAAGTGGCTGGACCATGGACTGCAGTTTGCCACTGAAGGGAGTGGCCGGACAGTAGACTACAGGTCCCCCCGGAAGGGGGGGACAGAGTGTGGCGCAGCCAGGGGACAGTGTCACTGTAGGAGGACGCCGTGGTCCTGGGAGTGATGTGGGTCCAGGAACAGAGGTGTCAGCAGGCAAGACACCACCAGAAAAGGGCACAGCGCTAATTCCCTGGACAGCCAGCAGGAGGCACCGCAGTGGTGAGTCGCGCCCCGTCACAGTGTTCATCTGGGAACCCCCCCAGAAAGAGAAGCATAACAAATAATCACCAATTATTTTGGAATATTAAGCCTGTAAGGCAATAGGGCATGGAGTGGACAGGCCAGGTCCTCGGCCAGTGTAAATCAGTGTCGCTCTATTGACTTCACTTCAGAGTTCTCGGGTTCTTCTCCTGCCTCTGGGAGGGGAGCAGGGTCTAGCAGGGTAGAGTGCGGGGACTAGGAGCAAGGACTCCTTGGTTCAATCCCCAGCTCTGGGAGGGCAGTGGTCTCTAGCAGTTAGAGCAAACTTCGTAACACCAAAACGTTTAGTGAATTAGTATCAAGTACGCCAAATTGTTTCGTTCAATCATCAAAAATCGGACATTTTCAAATGAAACATTTTGATTTTCTTTTTCAAAATGGCTTTGTCTTGAAATGTGCTTCAATTTTATTTAAAATGTGTAAAATCTAAGCTCACAAAGAAAACCATTTTCTTCAGACTGAAACAATCACTTTTCATTTGTCAAAAAAATTCATTTGGGGTCATCTCCAAATAAGTGCCCCTCTCCCAATTTTTTGGAATAATTGGAGACCCGAAAAATCAGTTATTAGCACAGGACTTACACGCCATCTGTGGTCCCAGTTCAGCCCCATTGTGGCTGAAGACACCAGGTCAAAGGTGATAATAGAGATGAGAACACAAACATCTCCCTTTCTAGATCAAAATAGCGGTGACCGTGTCGGGGAGGGGGAGCCGGTATCGCGGGAGCCAAATGACCCCAAATTTGCATTAAAAACCCCACCCCCGCCTCCATTCCAGAGTGCCGTTTTTCAAGGCAGTTTCCCCAGGCACGGGGGCGTCAGTGCAATTTGTGAATATTAACAGCAGCTCGTCATCAGGGCGCTGCATCGCATGAAATCCCCAAGTAAACGACCACCCTTTGCTCCAGCAGACTCCAGCAGAGCCCCTGCAGCTTGGTGCCAGGTGTAAGCCGAGTCTGGATGAGCTCTCCTCTGGCATCTAGTGCTGAGCTGTGGAAAAAGTCTTCGGAAGCTGATCTCGTTTGAATGGACACACCCGCCCTGCCAAGGTGCTCAGCACGGTGGGACTGCTTGCCCAAATGATCACTTGCGGCTGGTGTTGGATGCCCAGTCTCCTTGTTATTGGGGCAGGAGTAAGAAAGCGTTCGCATCCTTGTTGTGTGACCCCAGGGCAGTAGAACTGTATCTTGCACGCCCTCAACTCACCAGCAATCGCTAGGCCGGGGCCATGGGTTCCAACGCCCAATGGGCGGAGACAGGGTGGGGACAGGTACTTGCATCTGGGTGCTGGTTTAGGGTCATAGACACCATTGGACCTTTTCTCTCTCCATGGTATAATAAAAGAGCTAATGTAGATTCAATTGAAAGTCTTCTTACAGGCTACAGAGCTGAACCCCCTGACGCCTAGGTCTAATATTTGGGACAGAGTCTCTATTGCAAGAGACTGCCCAGTGTGCACCACTAGTAAGTCTCTCCCCCTAACAGCTGAGATCACTCAGAGCTCTGTTAAGTGGGGGGGGGGGCGCCTGAAGACATCTTGGCAAGTGGCTAGCAAGGTGCCTGGTGGAGAGGCACGGCAAGCGGCAAGCCGGGAGGCTGGTGGAGAGGGGCGGCACGTCACTAGCAGAGACATGAGGCCAGCAGGGTGGCTGGTGGAGCGGCGTAGCAAGTGGCCAGCAGCGAAGCTGGTGAAGAGGGCCAGAGCAGAGCCCTGCAGAGGCCCGGCAATTGGCTGTTGGGGTGACGAGTGCCCGAGCAGTGCCATGTGTAAGGTGCCTCCTTGCCCCCCTCCCGCCTTCCACCCAGGGTGAGAGGTGACCTCTGTGGATGAACCTCTGAAGTCTGGGGCTGCACTGGCCAAGGACAGCAACTGTGAGTGGGGTACAGAGAAGGGATGGGCACGTTAAAGGGACATTGGGGGTTGCTGGACTTAAGACCCTGAGGGGACCTACTTGGGGGTGGGTCTTTTACTCATGGTTTGTGTTTATGAACCCTAGTTGTGGTGTTTTCCCAAATTAATGCTGAAATACTTCCCTCCTTTTATTCAAAGTTTTTGCTACACTCAGACTCTGCTTGCAAGAGGGGAAGTATTGCCTCTGAGAGGCGCCCAGGGGGTGGTGAGTAATTGTCCCAGGTCACTGGGTGGGGGCTCGAGCCGGTTTTGTGTTGTACTGTTGAAAAGGAAATGCTAGATACTGAACCCGGCCCTTGTTGCCGCTGGCTCCACCTGGCAGAAGGGTTACCCAAGTCGATGCGAGTCTGCAACTGGTTTTCAGAGCGCTGTGAAAAAATGAAGAGCGGCTCCTTTGCATATGGCTTTAACTGAGGGCCCTGGATCCCAAACCCCCAAATCTGCCCTATTCACTCCATCACCGCCTTCCTCAGAGACAGCCAGATTCAAGCCAAACCAAGCAGGTGCGTGGATTTCAGA